TATTAATTGTAGAGGTTTACCATTACAAATAATTGGTGACATCGTGATTRAACATGACAATAATCAAATGGAAGTTAATGATGGAAATCTCACTATAGATCATGTACAAAAATCGAGACAAATGATTGAAGTTAGGTACATTAATTTCGATTTWACTTTTATGATCATTCATGACTGTAATAATAATTTACTACATTTACACAACTGAAATTATGGAATTATAGGTTAAATAAAACGCCAAAAACTTCTGCAGAACGTGGTCGAGAATTCAGAGCACGAAAAGCACTGCTTAAACAACAATGTAAGCAACAACAGGAACCAGATGCAATAGTTGAAATTGCTACAGAAGATATTCAAAGTGCTGGTTCATCAGAAAGCAATCAAGTCCCTGAACCCTCTGACATAACGACAATAGAAAGGAGAGCAAAGTCTGCAGAGGCAACACGGCGATGGAGAGAGAAAAAAAGGCGTTAGTGAGTCATCAAAAAAAACAGTGGAAAACTGCAGCTCAACGCATGCGAGAATACCGAGAGAGAAAGAAATTGTAAATATTTATTTATATATAAAAACTATGTCATTGAAGGCTCGTATAATTCTTATTTGCATTTCTTTACTTAGAGCAAAGAAAGTACTGTTGGAGCAGCAAAGTAATCAAGATTTAGATGCTATAGTCAGTACATCATCATCACAAGTGAATCAAAGGGCTGGTCCATCAACAATAAACAGCATACCCGCAGAGCTAACTAGAAGAGGGAATTTACAATCACAGCAACAAATTGAAAGATCAGAACGTACACGAGAATATCGTGAGAGAAGAAATGATAATGTCAACATGGAATCTTAATTATCATTGAAATTATATATGTTGTGTTTTTGATAAAAAAAATTTTAGGCTATATTTTATTTTAATATATATCTTTTTCTGTTCATAGCAATAATCTATCGGGAAATAATGAAGAACAATCAGACCTCTGTGATTTAACTTTKAAGTACGACGACATTGCAAAACATAAAAAGGCTCATGAAAATTCCAATCGAAAATTTCGGAAAAATCCATTTGGTTATTCATGTACAGTCTGTGATAGATTATGGTTTAAAAATGACTTAAAAAAGGCATCTGACAATTATAAAGATCTATTGAAGAAAATCATCGACCACGTCCTATMTTCAACTTCATCACCACCACAAGTATTCTTCACTGGACCTGCTGGTTCTTCCATTATCAACAGAGATGGCAAATCAATATCGTACTATTCAGATATGTAAAAGTCTTGATCATAGATGAAGTAAGCATGATTGGTGCAGAATTATTAGCTCAAATCGATGTTAGACTAAAACAAATAACAGGGAATTTTGAAACTAATTGCGGTGGATTGGACATGATTTTTATTGGTGATTTACGGCAACTGCCGCCTGTTCGCGCCACACCAATATACAAACAGCCAAAACAGCGTATGGCAGGACCAATACTATGGCGAGGATTAAAATTTTACCAATTGACAGAAGTGATGCGACAAAGTAATGCAATATTTTCAACATTACTCACAAAAATCGGTAATGGCATGATATTAACAGATGACGAATTAGCAATTATTGAAT